ATATTTTACACAAAATAACTGATAATAGCTAAGTATGATTGTATACACAGTTTGCAACTAATCTCAAATAGGTTAACCTATATTTATGTATAATTAATGATCATTTAGAAATGATTTAGATTATTGTTATAAGATATTTTTTTATGGAATAATAATTTAAAAACAATTTTTGACCTAGAGATTAAAAATAATAGTTAAAAAAAGAAATAATATATCTAGGTGATGTTTTCTGTGTTATTTAACTTAGGTTAGGTTAGAAGAGAAACAATAGAATCGCGATAACATTGTCGAGGGAATTTCAAAGTTAAGAGAGTACGTCGCGGCAGATGCTCCTTTTCGAGTCCCTTTTATCGATTTTCTACGATCAGCAAGTCTAACATAAGCCTACCATAAAAGCTTGAGTTTGAAGAGTGACTGTAGTCTTTCCAAATATCCTCACTAACATAAAATATATTTTTTGGAATGTTCACACAAATTTCTTATTCTATAATATATATATCTTTTTTAAAATAGAGGAGAGTGACTTTAGTATTTCCAAATATCTTCACTAACATAAAATATATTCTTTGGAATATTCATACAAATTTCTTATTCTATAATATATATATATATATATATCTTTTTTAAAATAGAGGAGAGTGACTTTAGCCTTTCCAAATACCTTCACTAATATAAAATATATTTTTTGGAATATTCACAAATTTTTTATTCTATATTATATATCATTTTCAACTAAAGGAGTGACTTTAGTCTTTCGAAGTATTCTCACTTATATCAAAAAATCTTTTTTTTGAATAATCACACAAACACATACAAATTTCTTATTCTATTTTATATCTAATTTTTAATTAGAAGAGTGACTTTAGTCTATCAAAATAACTTCACTTATATCAATGGCGGGATTTGGTATTTGCGGCAATGAACTTTCGAGTTCTTAATGCCAGTTAATAATAATAATAATAATAATAATAATAATAATAATAATAATAATAATAATAATATCAAATACTCTTTCTTTTGAAAAGTTTACAATTTTCTTATTTTATAATATTCATAATTTTTAATTAGAAGAGTGACTTTAGTCTTTCAAAATAACCTCACTTATATCAAGTAATCTTTCTTTTGAATATTTTACAATTTTCTTATACTATATTAAATATTTGTAATTAGAAGAGTGACTTTAGTTATTCGAAATAACTTCACTTTTATCAACAAATCTTTTTCTTGAATATTCACATATACACAAACTTCTTATTCTATTTTATATATAATTTTTAATTAGAAGAGTGACTCTAGTCATTCGAAATATCTTTACTTATATCAAATAATCTTTCTTTTGAATTTTCACATACACACACACACACGCATACACAAATTACTTATTCTATATTACATCTAATTTTTAATAACTATAAAATTATTATTTTAACTATTATGAGACTTTCATAAAAATTTGCATATCTGAGGAGTGACTCTAGTCTTTTTAAATATTTACTACATTGTACCTATGTTCAATCATTAACTACACTTTTGATTAAAACATTATTAATGTAATTTACAGTGTTTAAAATTTTACAAACAATCGATGAACAGTTTACTATTTAAAAGCATACTTTAATTCAAAATTAGATTTTTCCCCACTAAATATTTATTTAACGAACAATAACTCACAATTAGATTAGTATATATTATATAAATATTAGTTAGAATATTTTGATTTGAATAAAGACGAAATATACATAATTTTTCTTTTCTACTTCATATCTAATCGTAAACTATTATAACATTTCTATAAAACTTTGAGTCTGAAGAGTCCTGATCCTAGTCTTTTAAAATATCCATTTAATTATCCGTGTGTTTAGTCAAAAAGTCATTAACAACACTTTCAATTAAAAAATTATTAATGTTATTTAAAGTGTTTCAAATTTCACGAACAATTCAACCACAGTTTACTATTTAAAATACATACTATATCAAAATCTGATTTCCCCCCTTCCCCAATTAAACATTAATTTTAACGAACAATAAAATTAACAATTAGGTTAGTATAAATATTAACTCATTGCGAACGACGACGGTTTTTTAGTCGGTTTAGGTAGCAATATGAGACGATTTTTGCAAATATGTCAAGTGTTTTACATGGTACAATTAAATGATCTTACATATATAAATTTTGTCATATTTTTTTATTTAATTTGGCAAACAAAAGTTAAAAAACCCCCTTCCAAGTACCAACAATTTATTCTCTTCGGTTGGAGTTAACGAAATATATCATAAACACCTACTGTCGCCTCTCACTCGCCACTCGTCCTGCCGATCTAAACGTTGTGGTGACCGAGAGTCGCCTTTCGTCTGCAAAGGGTTAAATTAATGATTTTTGACACTATAGTGCCGCATGGTACTGAAAGATGGCATTCGTGAAAGCCACTATAGTGGCGTGTTCTACTAGAAGATGGAATTCTCGAAAGCCACTATAGTGACGCGTCGTATTTGAAGATGGCATTTACGAAAGCCACTATAGTGGCGTATCCTACTGGAAGATGGCATTCGCAGAAGCCACTATAGTGGTGCGTCCAACTAGAAGATGGTATCCGCGAAAGTCACTATAATGGCGCGTAGTGTCTAAAGGGTTAAAAGACAAATATGAAAAAGTTTGATCTCGCGAAAAAAAGGTTAGCATAGCTTATGTAAACGCATATACACGCACGCGTGTAAAAAGGGGGTCTATACACTCTATGGTAGATAGTAAGTAGGTAGTTTGTTGGTAAAGGGGGGTGGAGTTGGTAGTAGGTTGGTAGTAGGAAGTAGTATAAGTCAACGACATCGTCGACTTTCGGAGTAAACTAGAGTTTTCTTTTCTCTCTCTCTCTCTCTCTCTTCCTCTCTCTTTCTCTTTCTCTTTCTCTTTTTCTCTCTCATTCCTTTCAACGTCTCTGTTGTTACCTGTTCGCTCGTCTTCAGTTGTCGGTTGTCAGTTGTCGTCGTCTATCGTAAATCGATAAAGGCGTTCGAAATCGTATTTCCGAGTAACACAAGCGGAATGTAAAGTTTCCATCTCTTTTCTTCTCACTTTGGAGTCTTAATAAGACACAGAAAGAGAAAGAAAGAGACAGGGTGAGAAAGTCAGGGGGTGGGGTAGGGGAGGGAAGAAAAAAGAACGTCTAGGTTGATAAGAAATAAGAAGAGAAAGTAATCGAGAAGGGTGGTTGGTGAGAGAAAATGCTACTCCAATTGTATATATACAGCTTTCTAGATACCTAACCTAACCTAAAGATAAACAACGAGAGAGTGGGAGAGTGGTGGATTTTTTCTCTGTGTTTCTTCTTGGATTACACGCAAAACAAACACACTTTTATCCTACAAATATATCTTTCATTTTCATTTTGTTTTCCTTTATGCTTAACCACCCTCCTCCCTCACCCCATTCCTCCAATGATTTTTCCTAAAAATATCGAAATAGAAAAGACATTTATTTTTTCTTACTAATTGTAAGATAATCATCCACGAAATTTCATCTGGTAACTCGTAAAATGTTTGTTATTGTTTTTTAATGTGTTTAGGGTTGAAAAATAAAATTAAAGAAAAAACAGGGAATGGAGGGTGAGGAGAGGTTTAACGCAAGAAGAAGAAGTAAAAGCAGTGGGGTAAGGGGAAGAGAGTGAAAAAGAAAATAAAATGACACCACAATTTTGCTGAGCCAGCTAGTACTAAGAAGGTAACACTACACGTGCACCCCCACGTGGGGGGAGGAGGTTACGGTGGAATCCTCTATTGTTGTTCCCCCCTGTGTTGGATACCCAGAGAAAAGGAAGAAGATAGAAAGAAATCCAAAAAAGGGGTCTTTGGGGGTTTAGAGGGATTAGGGGGAGGACCAACAGACACGGAAGTAAAAAATGGAGAAAGCCTCTTTGTGCGTGTGCGTATGCGCACGTTTTACGTTATACATCATCCAACAACTACACACAGGGTATACTTTTCTATATATACGAAAAAGAGAGAGAGAGAGAGAGAGAGAGAGAGAGAGAGATAGGAATCGATTCGAACAACCAATCAGAAAGGAGATACTAAGGTCCTTCAGCATGAATTCGTAGTTCTCTAACACAAAACCATCCCACGTTTTTCTCATCCAGCATCCATCTACTCCTCTTACCCCTACCTTTTTTTTCCTACCCTACCTTTCTACTACAATCCCCAGTCCCACAATCCCATCCCCACAACCCCATTCCCAACCTTCCCGTATATGTGTTGTTCATGTATCATCACCAGTTATAGAAAGCTTAGAAAAACTAAAGCTTTACTAAAGGGAACCACAAGAGATGATAACTCTTACAATATATATATATATATATATGTATATAAGAGAGTTCGAAAGACTGAAGATATTACAAAGAAGAACGAATGATGCAAAAGAATAAAGAGAGCATTCTTTCTTGTAGAAAAGTAAAGTTACAATAGTGTGTCACGTATCCAAATTCATTTCGACCAAACGTAAAACGTTTCTTCTTATTCTTTCTCTACATACACAAGAAAACAAAAAAAAACAATAAAAAAGAAATGAAAGAGATATATATATATGTGCATATAGATAGACAGAGATAGAACATAACCTCTCTCTGATGCCCATAATCTGGCAGTGCATTTAACCACTTTGTGAAATAGCCGTATATATCTGTGCCCCTGTGACGTAGCATTCGATACGTCGCTGAGGTATTCTGGAAAGGGTATAGACGTATCAGAGTAAAAAAAAAAACAAGAGAAAGAAAAAGACAGAAAGAGAAAGAGAGAAGGAGAGAGGGGTGAAGTAGAAGATGCGCAAGCTCGTAGTAGAGACTCGAAAGTAGGGGTGGAAATTGTAGGGAGTTAGGGTGGGGTTTAGAAGAGGATAGATAGATAGATGTGAGGTTATTGGGGGGAGGGGGAATAGGGTAGGATAGAAAGAGAAATAGAGAGTCTATATATATATATATCGGAACTTGGAATCACAGTAGGGGTGGGTGGCTGCTGCTGCTATCGGTTGGTGGGGAGTCCGTTCTGCGCACAACCTGTGTACCAACCCCAGCTATGGAGTGGAAGAAGGGTGCGTCCTACTTCGCGTCGGCGTTTTCCCTCCTGGCACTGTGCAACGTTCGCATTGGTATAAGTGAGATAGGGATAGATAGAAAGAGAAAGAGAGAGAGAGAAATATAGTATAGGTGTCGTCAGTGTGACAAAGACGGTGCTACGTTTGGTTGAGGAGACCCCAGTCTACTTGTATCTCTCTCTCTCTCTCTCTCTCTCTTTCGTTCCTCCCCTCTCCTCTCTCTTTCTCTATCTTTATCCGGTTGGTTAAAGGAAGACAGAGTTAGGGTGTCTCTCTCTCAGCATTTCTGAACCCCAGGTTTTCACAGTCTCTCATTTAACGACGAACGCGTTCGCCGCGTCTCTGCTGACCGGTGCTGAACGACACACAACACACAATTCTTTTTCTCTCCCTTTGTCCATTTACGATGTTTTTTCATATAATATCCAGAATTTACGAGTGTCCTCATTTCTAACCTGGTCAAGAGAGAGAAACTACTCGGTGTGACAACAACAAGTCCATCAAACAAATTTGGAAATGTTAGACCTAACTTTATAGGCCTATTTTCTAATCTGATTTTCATTGGATATGTCGGATTAGAGTGTGTGTGTGTGTGTGTGTTAGTTTGACAACAAGTGCAGAGAGTTTTTGAAGAAAGACTCGTTGAGAACGTTTTCAGTTTTGTTTAAATGGTGACACACATGGTATATGATTTATTAAGGATAAGGATGATGATTAGGAAAAGTCTTGGTGCCTTTGGTGAATAAGTATACGTTTTCTCTCTCTCTCTCTTTTATCCTTGAAACGTTACCGAATAAGATTCACGAATGGACGAGCCGGGAGCGTTTAATCCCTTGCCTCTCGTTTGCATAATTAGCCGCGGTACTGCGCTGCGGGCTCCCTCGAGGTAGAAGAGGAGGTTATCCCCGTAAACTTTGACCGCCAAGATCTTACCAAGAACGGGGGAGGAAGAAAGGAAAGGAAAGTAAAGAAGAAAGGAAAGGAAACTTCGAAGTATTCGCGAGAAGAAGAAGAAGAAGAACAGTCTTTATATATATCTCCTGAAGAGTCCTTTGAGTGTGACGGAGACATAAAGAACAAGAAGGGGAAAGAGAGAGAGAGAGAGAGAGAGAGAGAGAGAAAGAAAGGAGGATGATGATAAAAATGGACTCTGTCGTATCCTGCTGATCGTTAAAATAGAAAGACCTCGTGTATAAGAGGTGCAGTCTCTTGGTTGGTGAGGGTTTTTTAGTTGCGTGACAGTGAACAAATCGTTTAAGTGTTTATGTGACACGGACAGAAGAATAGGAGAAACAAAAAAGAAACAACAAGAATAAAAACAAGCAAGATTATTCATCAGGATGCCGAGGGGTTCATTGTTAATCCTTTTAATAATGATGGCAGTGACAACGAGATTAGTTTGTCCAGATAAATGTGCCGATGAGTGTACCTGCAAATGGAAAAATGGTAAACGTACCGTGGAATGTATAAATCGTGCATTAACGAGTATACCAGAACGGATCGATCCTGAGACACAAGTGTTGGACATGAGCGGGAATCATGTAAGAAGCTTGCCGAGTAACATCTTCGTACGTGTACGTCTGACGAATCTCCAGCGTCTCTATCTACGCGAGTGTCGTATCGACCGAATCGACTCGGAGGCTTTGACCGGCCTTACGAACTTGGTCGAACTCGATTTAAGTAATAATTTGTTATCAGGGGTGCCAAGTGCCAGTTTTTCTAACACTCCCTTTTTACGTGACCTAGTGTTAGCGTATAATCATTTGGAAAGGATTCATTCTCTTGCATTTAAGAATACACCTAATTTGGTTAAACTCGATTTATCTCATACCAAATTGATCGAAATCGAGGCTAAAGGATTTCGTGGTTTGGAATCATTGGAAAGTTTAAAATTGAACAACAATGAATTAACTACGTTACATCCCGGTACGTTCGATCCATTGAACAAACTCACCAGTATCGAGTTACACGACAATCCATGGATTTGCGATTGTCGTTTGAGAGAAATGAAGATGTGGTTAGTGAAACATAATTTACCGACATTGGTTGCACCCATTTGTCACGGTCCTGATCAATTGGTCAACAAAGTCTTTACCGATCTCGTGATCGATGATTTTGCCTGTCGTCCGGTACTTTTGATAGCTAGTCATTATGCCGAGGCTACGATCGGTGAGAACGCTAGTATAGTGTGTAGAGTAAGTGCTATACCACCTGCTAAAGTTAAATGGTATTGGAACGGACGATTGTTGACCAATCATTCGGCGTTTAGCAGTTATCAAAAGGTTTTGATCTTCGAGGAGGGACAATTTCGTAAAAGGAGTACATTGGTGTTAACCAATGCACAGGAAGCTGATTCAAGTGAATTTTATTGCGTTGCGGAAAATCGTGCTGGCTGTGTGGAAGCCAATTTCACGTTACACGTATCATTAAGAACGGCTGGTATGTCGACCTTAGGATCGGGACAGATAGCTGGTATATCAGCAGCATTGGTAGTCCTGATACTTTTAATTCTTCTAATCATTCTAGTATTGTTCGTACGACTTAGAAGAATGCCCCTGAAAGACGTGAAATCACAAACGCCCGTTGAAACGGTGTCGGGTGAAGCAAACGGTGAAATGATCAATTCTACTGAAAATCCGTCAACCACTTCATCACTGGCTCGAAGAAAACGAGATGAGATCGAGACAACGTCGTTCGGAATCGATACGAAACCACCGGTATCCTTGAACCTAAGTTACGTACAAAGACCTCAAACTGCCCTGGTCCAGAATGAAAGTGATTATAGTACATTAACGAGATACGACGATCGTCAAGGTGGTGTTGGTGGTTGTGGTGGTGTTGGTGTAGTAGGTAGTGGTGGTGTTGTAGTGGGTGGTAGTGGTGGTGGTGGTAGATCCTCGTTATTAGTAGCACCAGGTGGTGGTGGTGGATGTTTTTCATCAACTACGTCCTTGATGCCCATCGATAATCCTGATTTGATTAGAGACACTAGACGTGGCTCTATGGAAGATTTAACCCCATATGGTGCTGGTGGTGATTACGTTGGTGGTGTTGGTCGTATGGAATTAATCGATGACGGTAAAATATTATATTCCAGTTGTATTTGGGATAACACTAATAATACCACCACCACCACTACCAGAGACAGCAGCAGCACCACCAGCAATAACAGTTGTAGGGATGGTTGTAGAGATAATTGCAGAGGTACTTCGTTACATGTCACTTCTTATACCTCATCCAAGGAAACATTAGCCGTTGTAGCACCAACGGTTGAACAATTTCCACCTGGTGCTAAACAAATGCGTGTATGGCAAAAGGGTGTACCAGTATTACCACCTGTATCCGCCCTAAAACGCGTATTAGGATCAACGCGTAGCTCACCCGACGAGGGTTATCAGGAAGGCACTGGAACCGATGTCTAGGTACCGCTACTTCATTACTGCGATCCACGGCATCGTTATTTGGAATTACGTAGACGCCATCAGGAGGATGATACCGACTGCTGATTTATTGTTCAATATTATTCTTTCAATCCTCTTTTTATTTTTTCTTATTTGTTTTTTTCTTCTATATTTTAACGAACGGGATCGATCCTTCTCTACATTGGTGGTTCTTGTATGCTGAACAATTCGCAGTAGTGAATAATAATAACAAATATATATATACGTAAAAGAAAAAGAAAAGATTCCATTCAACAAAAATTTCGCTATGACAAGAACAAATAATATATATATATATATATATATCGTTTCATTGACTCAGGGGGTGTCTGTTGTTTAAGAACCTCGAGTGAAACTCTTTTTATCCATGGTGTCGACGAATCTGATAAAAATATTATACAGTGCACAGGTGTTAACGTGTAAGACTACAATTCTAAGATGATAAATAATTCATTGGATAAATCATGAGTTGTCTGTGAGAATGAAGAATTTTTTCGTGGTGGTGGGGGATTTAGAAAAGAAGTGGGGATGAGGTGGAGTGTTGGGTGGGGGGCGGCGGCGGCAATTTGAAAGAAAGAAAAAAAAGAGGTAGAACGGTTTTATTAAGAAAGTTCAGTGTGTTAATCGATAATATTTAAACTATGACCGTTATACTATCCTAATTCTTCTGAGATTCTTCTTCTTACTTGTTTGGAGTCCTAAAAAAAATAAAAAAAGTAAATAATATAATAAATGAGAGGAAGAATATGGAAAAAAGAAAAAAAGACAAAGGAAGAAAAGAAAATGGAGGAAGACTGGTGCGCTACACGCGTGTACGCCGATGGATTGCGTAGGTAGGCCCTTTGATTCAAACGAAAGGGCTAGGGCTAACCGTAAAAGAGCCCCTTTTTTCCGTTAGCGTCTGGACTTTCTAGTCAATTCGAGAATGTAATTAGATTATTTTAGAAAGAGAGAGAGTGAGAGAGAGAGATGGAATGAGTGGATGAGTGAATGTGGGGGGTGGGGGAGAGGAAAGGGAGAGGACGATGCGTCGATTTTTTGTTTCTTTTCCCATGGGAAAATTTCATTTGACATTTTTTAACTTGAAACTTTTTAAATAATTTTTTTACTATTCGTCATTTACTTAATGAAAAACCTTCTCGCGCCTAAGGTTTGCAAAATAAAATTGCGAAAAAGTGAGGTTAGTCGAAAAAAATATCGCAAATTGAACTTTGCAACCCGATTCGGAAATTTTACTTACATAGAAAATGGATTTAATATTCATTAGATAGTCATTAGAAAGTTGAAAATTGTTGGGGGTTTATAAAAGAAAAAGAAATTAGAAAAGGGCTAAAAAAAATGTCCTCCAACGAGGTTTCCAACATATATATCTTACATTAAAGTAGAATCACGTCAACGTGAACACATTTTTTTCGAAACTTTTGAGTTGAGGTTAATTTTTCGTTTTCAATTGTAAAAAATTGACGAGTCTAATTGAAAGCCTAAAAAACAACAGGGCTGCTCGAACATTTTTTTTCTTACACGAGGCCACATATTGGCGCTGATTGCGCAAAACTATGACTGACAAAAAATAAACACGAAGGTCATTGTCAGGTTGGGAAACACAATATGCGTATTAAAAACTTTTGGTGTTCTGGGTTGGTGGAGGGGGGATTGAGGATGATGGTGGGGGGACAAGTAGACGGGTAATTCGATTTTGGTTGCTAATGAAGAAATAATAAAACGAAAGAAAATAAAAAAAAAAAATGAATTTATAACAGGGCCGTTATGCTGCACCAAAAAGGGGAGGTTGTGCAGGTTGAGCCATGATTTGAGCCCGTAAAAGGTTTTCGACGAAGTATAATTAGGAATTTAAAAATCGATTAGAATCTTTTGAGCTCGTATTGTAAATAAAATTAAATTTGTTTGATCGTGAAAATAATTCATGAGTACTCGAACTACTCGAAGTAATTAAGGGTTGTTAATAAAAAAAAAAAAAAACAAAAAAACAAAAAAATATGAAAAAAAAGAAAAAGAAAATGAAAGACGATTTGATAGAAGATGAGAAGACAAGAGAAAAAAAAGGGAAGAAAGAATAAAAAAATAGGAGAGAAACAAAAGCAAAATGGTGGATTTCTGTTACGCAAAGAAGAGTTTTACGTGCGCGTTTAAACTAAAACACTTGGTCGATTAAACCTTAAGCCGAAAGGCCAATCTCGAGTTCCCATGCTTAGGACAAACGGTGTGTGTTTGTGGGTATGTGTGTGTATGTGTGTGTGTGGTGTTGGTTTGTTGTGCGTGTAAGTACGTATACGTTCGTGTGTATCACAGTGTCAATGAGTTTACGTCTATGGATTAGTTAGTATGTTTGTGTGTATGTATTTGTGAGGTTACAAACATGTGGGGGTAGAAAAATAGGATACGTAGCGTGTTACTCGCAATTCTTACGATTTCTTTTAATCGATTTATTTTATTTTTTATTATAATGTATTTTTAAGTAACATTCCGACGATTATCGACTACTATTTATTTATTTATTTATTTATTTGTTTATTTATTTTTTAGGTTAGGTAGGTCAAATATTTTTTTGATTGATTGTTAAAATCGATTACTTTCTTTTGAAAACTTTTAGGTTATGTTTTTTTTGAATGTTTTTTGTTCATATTGGAATATTACAAGTAAAATTATGTAATTTTGATAAATTTTTGGAAGAAACAAAATTATGTAATCATTTGTGACTCACTCTGTACATTTAATGTCGCAATTTATATGACCAACGTAATTTGTTTAAAACAAAATTGCATTCTACGCGTTCCATTTTTTTTTCTGTTTTAATTATTATTGTAATTATTATTTATTATTGTTATTATTTTTTGTTTTAATTTTAATAAATTTTTTATAAATTCGAGTACAATTTTTTATCGAGACCCCATTTAACATTTATATCGAATAAATTATTATATTTTGTTTCTTCTATATTTTTTTTTTTTTTACAAATTATATTCTAAAAACATATCACATAACACATATCATTAAATCGAACATATTTCGAAATGAGAAGAATGAAATTTTCATTCTGAATATTCATTTTTATTTCTGAATATTTCAAATAAATATATAAAACGTAGAGGTAAATAAATGTTATTTAAATAATCGATACAAGAGAATTTCCTTTTTTTATAACCATAAACCTTTGTATACACATTTTATATTTTTATAAATAATTTATTTATTTATTAATTACCATAAATTATTTAATATAATTCGTTTTAGTTTCTAATTTGAGTTGATATATTTGTAGAAAACAATTGCTTTTTAAATATATCTTATTATATATGCACACATGTGTATGTAATAAATCGATACAATAATTTTCTTTTCTATAACCATAAACCTTTGTATACACATTATATATTTTTATAAATAATTCATTTATTTATTAATTATAACAAATTATTTTATATAACTCGTTTTTGTTTATTTTCTTTTTTTTTTTTTTTAATTTGAGTCGATAATTACAGAAAGCAATTTGTTTTTTAAATACATTTTATTATACATACGAATTATGAGTATTACGTACGTATATATTGTATTACATCATTCACGCACACATTTACATAAATCTACTCTCTCCATATATATGTATATGTATATATGAGATAGAAAAAGTAAAATGGAAATATAATATTAATCATTTATATGAGAATAGCGTTGCGTTCCACATTTTGCCAATAGAGAATGATAAAAGAAAAGAAAAGATAAAAAAAAAAAAAGCAATAAAAAGAGAAATGCGTAAAATCGGTCGACATTGTTACTGGATAAATATCGTTAATTACTCGAACGTTCGAATGTCGGTCGTGTATTGCGAATCCTGATGTAATTTACTCGATGCACGACGTTTTATATCACACTGCCAGGTTTTTTGTCCTTTTCTTTTCTATTTTTCCTTTTTTTTTCTGCTTTTCTTTTGTTTCCTCCGTTTTTTCTCCAGATAAAAAGGAGGGACAAGGATAGATAGATAGATAACTAGCGAGAGAGAAAAAAAGACACTAGGAAAAGTTTATGTCAGTGATACTCAACCTGTTTCTTCTACTGGACCCCAAATTTTTTGTTGTTTTTGTTTTTTGTTTGAAAAAGTATTTTGTTTTTGTTTTGACACATACAGTCTCTTTTGAAGATACGTTATTGAAAGTAAATAACAGTTTATAAAAAAAAACGTAGAAAAAATTGAGTAAAAAACCTTTAAATGTAACAATTTACTGGACCCCGATTTTGTTTTAATTTTGTTTGGAAAAGAATATTTCTTTTTTAACATACACACACACACACACACACAAACTCACACACAGTCTCTTTTGAATATCTGTTATTAAAAGTAAAAAACATCTTACACAAAAATACTTCAACAGATATAAAATATAGGTTATGATCAGTTATAACAGTGTATAAATCTTGTCATGAAATTGAACACAGATAAATATCATATTTTTAGGTTATATTTTTTTTATTCTTTGGTTTGTTTGTAGTTGTGACAATTTACTATATATTTTCTAATAGTAATGTGGACAAAATTTAGTAAAAACCAATAAAGGTAACAATTTACTGGACCCCAATTTTGTTTTTGGTTTTATTTGGAAAAATATTTTTTATATTTTTACACACAAACCGTCTCTTTTTAACATACGTTATTAAAAATAAAAAAACATCTTTAAAAAAAACTTTAATATAGTAATAAATTTAAATAAAAATAATAAATTTATAGGTTATGATTAATTATAACAGTGTATAAATATCATCATAGTATGTAACATAGATAAATATCATATTTTTAGGTTATATTTTTTTAATTCTTTGGTTTGTTTGCAGTTGTTAAAATTTATTAATATATATTTTGTAATAGTAATGTGGAAAAAATGTAGTAAAAAACCTGTAAATTTACCAATTTGCTAGGCCCCAATTAGACGCCCCTACGGTTACTCAAAAAATAAAAAAAAACAATAAAAAGTATAATAGCCCATTTTTTGTTTAATTTTTTATTGAAACATGGTAAATGCACGGTTGTACTTTTATTTACTGAATTTTATTATTAACACACTTTTAACAATGTTAACAAATTTTTTCTAACAACATAAATATACTCGCATTTAGAACAATATTTTCATAGTATGCTAAATTTCTTCTTCAATTTTTTTTCTTAACCTAAAAAAAGAAATTAAATACTAAAGAATAATAAATTATCTTTTACGTATGATATTTAAAAACTATTGTTTAATGTTTGTTAACTATTGAAATGGAATATCCATTTTTTAATTGATTGAAAAAACAAAAAATCAATTTATAGAAAAAAAATAACCTTTTCTAAACATAAATATATTTAAACATTAATTATATATATATATATTGAATAATAATAATATTTATTTATAACAATTTCGATTAGATTGAATTCATAAGAGCGAAAGGGGTTGGTTGTTGAGGGTCAATTGTGGCTGCTACAAACAAAAAAAAGGGTCAACAGGGATAGAAAAACAAGAAAAGTACTTTACTCAAACATAAATATATTTAAATATTATTGTAATCTTTGGTATTGTTTATAAGAGCTATTGGTTCTCAAGGAGGGAGAGGTGGGGTAGGAATGGGGATGAATCGTGATCGTCGATCAATTTTATTCGTTAAAGAAAGGAAAAAAGGGTAAATTATTGAGACTGGGTTATTCTTCGAATGGCAGGTTGAGTACCACTGGTTTACATCTATCGATCGTTACTTTCCAAACCGAGTTTTTCCGATCACGTATCTCCGGATATATATTTCGAACTATTTAACTACTCTTTTGTCTTCTTCCCAATAATATCTCCTCCCCTCTTTTTTTTTATTTTAATTTTTATTTTTATTTTTATTTTTGTTATTCCTTTTTTTTTTCTTTCTAAAAGCAAAGAGAGAAAAGAAATGGAAGGGACAACAAGAGAAAGAGAGAGAGATAAAAGAATAAAATTCGTTTGTCATATTACAAACTTGTCAATATTCATTAAAAATATCAAACGTGTTTTTAAAAATGTCTGACTGTGTTTATGTGTGTTGTGTGCACGTGTGTCTATATTTACATACATAGTTTTGTATATAAACAAATTGAGAACAAAGGCTGGAGAACACATAACACGTACCGAATATTTCTATTGATTGAAGTTATGAGTTTCTTTTTTAGGTTAGTTTCAAAATAATCGAATGTTCTTCTTCGAAATTTTTTAGGTTAGTTTTGTTTTGTTTTGTTTTTTTCTTTAAATAGTTAAATTTGTATGCCTAATTATTTTGAGTTATGAGTTTTCTAGGTTATTTTCAAAATAATCGAATGTTCTTTTTCGAAATTTTTCAGGTTAGTTTTTCATTTTTTTTTCTTTTTTCTTTTTTCTGCTGATAGTAAAACTTGTATGCCTAATTATTTTGAGTTATGAGTTTTCTAGGTTATTTTCAAAATAATCGAATGTTCTACTTCGAAATTTTTTAGGTTAGTTTTTCTTTACTTTCTTCTTTAGATAATAAAATTTGTACGCCTAATTATGACAAATCCTAAAAGGTTTTGAAAGAAAATAATGTTGATAGAGTAAATAAAAAAATCCTTTTTTCAATTCGGATATCAATTTGAACAAAATTTGCATGAATAAATACAGATAAATAATAGATAATAATTCAGTAACAAATATTCGAAACTTTTTAGGTTAGTTTTTTCTTTAATTCGTAAAATTTATAAGCCTAATTATGACAAACCTAAAAGATCTGGAAAAAGAGCAATTTAATTTTTACAAATAACCTAGAAACTTTAAAAACCTAACCTCTGTTTTATATTTTTCTTTTATTTTTCGTATATTTCTTTTTTAAACATGTATTTGTTAATTTAATTTTTACGCACAAGATTTATTGATTTCAACGTTAATAACTGCATATATTAATATATATATACACTTCAAATACATATACGTATATACCGGGTGAGATAAAAGTTGCTTTCTCTTTACAAGTTTTGAAAAATTATTTATAATAATTGACAGAGCCCCGTTACTTTACAAACTTGAACATCAATTCGAAAAAGGTTTAAACAAAAGTAATTAATTAACATTTATGCTAATTCGAGAGTTATTGCCTTTGAAACATATTTTTAATGTGGAAAAATATGCTTTCACATGCTACTATTGTGCATTTTACGAAATAATGGCTAATAAATTCAAAAACGTCATTTTCTCATCAAAAAAAAAAAAGATGAAAATGTAATTAGTAATTTCTGGTTAAACATAGATGATATAAAAAACAAATACAACAATGAATAATTTGCTTAAAATTATTTTGAAGAAAAGAACTTTTGATCTCAGCCTGTATTTTACATATACTATTAAATCTATCGAATAATTAAAATGTATTGGTTGACTATATATATATATATAAACGTTCAATATATGCTTCTCATATATTTGTATATGTATGTACACATACATACGTAAATTAATAATATTTTAATTGTTTTATTTAATATTATTTATAAAATAATTAAAGTATTTGGTTCGTAATCATTAGATAATAA